TTTCTTATGTATAATTCAGTAAGTGCCAGCAAGAGTTTAGTTGTTTTGCTTGAGGACAAGCAATTCTTCCAGTTTGGGGGAGTTGATAATGGTTTATTTGTTACATAAAAGCATCACAATTAACTCTGAATTTAGTAAGAAATTAGGGGTATTCTTTAGTATTAGTGCATTTCACTTAACTAGTTTTTGTGTTTTTATTAGGTTAGGACTTGTGCCGAGTTCACCAAAAATATTACTAGCTTGGATTTTGATTTTTGTAGATAATGGAAGCTAGGTCAATCCCACGAGGACAGCTAATTACTAAATTCGTTGTTAAAAGACTACCAGTTTAAACAAGGTGTCACTCAGGGGAATGGAAACAGTCACTCAGGGGAACAAAAGCCAGGGGTGTTCATCTCCTCTTCCTAATGCAGTAGTTGTATAATCAGCACTGTAATGGTTAAGTTCTTGTTCATTCAGCCCACTTATAACTTTAAGTCAGTTGTCATTTTTCCTAGAGTCATCTTTGCAACCTTAACAAGCTATTTTCCAACGATTGATTCCAGTTACAGAGTCATTAAGATCTCAGGCTTACATGGATGCTCATGTCAACTAAGTATATTCCTATCTTAGTTAAAACCATACGATGTTACCTCTATGTCATAAATTGAAGTTGAAACAATCTAAACCAAGTTTATCTTTCCAGATCTCCCTTAGTTCTAACATGCATTCAATTTAGTGATCAAGTAAATGAACGTAGCAAAAACTTTCAACTTCAAAACAAAGAACAGAACCAGTGCATTACAACAACTCCAGCATAGGTTGAGGAGATTAACCCCTGGAAGCTACTTAGATACTCATGCAGATTAATGCTACATCTACAACATGAAAAGACATCATAGAAGTATGCACCATAAAACAAAGTTCAAGCTAACAATTACGAGACGAGAAAAAAGCTTGTGCACTTCTGAACCACTCCTGAGAGTGAAAGAGTTTACTCATGGAAGTGAGGCAGTGACTGGGATGGTTGTTCTTCAACTTGGCTTCCTTACTGAGTTGTTGTTGTTCCTTCTTCCTTCTTGCCTTCTTCTTGAGTTTTTCTGTGTGTTCTTGGCAACTGAAAGGTGTAGCTAGAGATGCCCATTTTTGAGAGTGCAGCTCCCCTTTCATAGAGCCCTAAAGCCGGTTCTTCAACCAAGAGAGCCTCCCCATGCTTGTGAATTGTTTAATCCTTCCTAGGCCTTGTGTTTGGAATCCGAAATTGACAGGTCTTCTTCTCTTCTTCCAGCAGTGGCAGTAGCAACCTCATTGATCAGCATGGGTGGTGGAAAATTCGGCCAAGGAGACAAGCATGCCTTTGGAATTCTAAGGAGAGACACACTCATTAATGTTAAGGTGCTTTGTGTCTTGGGAGTGTTTTTTCGACCAGCTCAGCAAAATTGTGTCTAGCAGCCCACACAAATTGTTCCTTTGGCCCCAATTTTCAGTAATTGTTCAATCAAGTGCATGTTGGAAGATGGACTTAATGTGACTACACGTGCGCGCAACATCTTTTTATTTTGCAAGTTTCTATTTTTTTTAATGTACAACTCACGTGCCCCTTCCTTTAATTTTAGGAATTGGGTTTTAAAAATCGCTTAAATTTTTAAAACACTTTATTTCTTACTCCTTAAAGAATTAGACCAAGTGTCTTGTATCATTTTGATAGTACTCGATGAGATCTATTCAACAAGATCCATCATAAATATGTTTTTTTGAAACTTAAAAAAAATTTATTCAGTTGCCTTGGTTTTCCTAAAAGACGCTTTGGTCTTACTTGTTGCTCCTAATTGTTTTGTACAAACTGTATGGTCTTTCTATTTGTTACTATCGGTCTTGACTTTTACATATTTTCCTTGGTCTTCCTAAAAGACACTCTGGTCATGCTTGTTTGTACTACTGATCTTTAGTCTTCGATTTTTGATTTTTGGTCTTTGGTCTTTGGTCTTTGGTCTTTCCTCAACATAGACGCTCCCTCTTAACTCTGGTCTTGGGACTTTGGTCTTTGGTCTTTGGACATTGGTATTTGCTTTGCTCTTTGGTCTTTGGTCTTCGGTTTTTTGGTCTTTGCTCTTTGCTCTTCATACACACTTGGTTTTCACTCTGGTCTTTGGTTTTCGGTCTTTGGTCTTTGATTTTCTTATCTTTGAACTTTTGTCTTTTATCTTTGGTCTTTGGTTCTCAATCTTGGGCCTTTGAACTTTGGTCTTCGGATTTTGGTCTTCGATTTTTTGTCTTTGGCCTTTGGTCTTCTGTAGTTGGTCTTTGCTCTCTAATGATTGGCCTTTGGTCTTCGATCTTTGTTCCTCACACATTGTCACCCTTCACTCTGGTCTTTAGTCTTTGGTCTTTAATCTTCGTTTTTTTATTTTTGGCCTTTGGCCCTTAGTCTTTTGCCTTTTCTCCTCACACACATTCGCACTTCACTCTGGTCTTTATTCTTTGGTCTTTGGTTCTCGGTTTTTTGGTCTTTGGTCTTTGCTACTCGCACATGCTCGGTTTTCACTCTGGTATTTGGTCTTTTTTATTATCTCTGACCTTTGGTCTTCCTACATTTCCTCTAGGCCTTAGTCTTTTTTTACATATTAAAAATCACCAATAATATAAATGGAATCATTTTTTGGGAGCGAGCATGTGTGAGGAGCGGGCGCATGTGAGGAGCGACAAATGCTCACGTAGACTTCGGCAGCCTTCGGCTAGCGAGTTTTTCAACCGCATGTGCAGCCCTTCGACTATAAATTGGAAACCATTTTATGGGAGAGATATCAGAGTGAGCATGTGTGAGGAGCGGCACATACTCACATAGCATGCGACTAGCAAGCTTTTCGGTCGCCTGCGCAGCCTTTCTGATATAAATGAGAAAGTTTTTTTTCGGGGGACATATCAGAACGGGCGTGTGTGAGGATTGACAGATTCTCGCGATAGATGCTCACGTTGCATTCGAGTAGCAAGAGCTTTATCAGTCGCATGCGCGGTCCTTCAAATATAAATTGGAAATCCTTTTTCTGGGAAGATCCCAGAGCAGGCGTGTGTGAGGACCTAGCGTGTTTGAGGAGCGATCGTGTGTGTGTAGCGATAGGTGCTCACACCAGATGCTCGGGTAGCCTTCATCTAGCAAACTTTTCTGCCGCCTAAGTGGGCATTCGAATATAAATTGAAAACCTTTTTCTGGGGAGATATCAGAGCCGGCGTTTGTGAACAGCGAGCGTGTGTGAGTAGCAATAGATGCTCGTGACAAATTCTCACGTAGCTTTCGGCTAGCGAGCTTTTCGGCCACCTGCGTGAGCATTTGAATATGAATTTGAAAACCTTTTTCAGGGGAGATATCAGAGCGGTCATGTGTGAGGAGTGGGTATGTGTGAGGAGTGGGCTTGTGTGAGTTGTGGCTGATGCTCACGTAACCTTCCGCTAGCGAGCTTTTTGGCCACTTGCGTGAGTATTTGAATATGAATTGGAAACCTTTAATTCGGGGAATATCAGAGCGGTCGTATGTGAGGAGCAGCCTTGTGTGAGGAGCGGGCTTGTGTGAGTTGCGGTAGATGCTCACTTAGCCTTCGGCTAGCGTGCTTTTCGGACACTTGCGTGGTATTTCGAATATAAATTGAAAACTATTTTTTGGAGGAGAGATCGGAGCGGTCATGTGTGAGGAACGGGTGTGTGTGATGAGCGGGTTTGTGTGAGGAGCGGCAGATGCACACGTACTATTCGGCTAGCGAGCTTTTCGGCAGCCTGCGCGGCCCTTCAAATATAAATTGGAAACTTTATTTCAGGGGAAATTTCAAAGTAGGCGGGTGTGAGGAGCAAGCGTGTGTAAGGAGTGGGATATGCTCATGTAACCTTCGGCTAGCGAGCTTCTCGGCTACATGCGCAGGCCTTTGAATATAAATTGGAAACCTATTTTTGGGGAAGATATCGGAGCAGGCGTGTGTGAGGAGCGAGCATGTGTGAGAAGCAAGAGATGCTTCCGTAGCCTCCGGCTAGCGAGCTTTTTGACCGCATGCGTGACCCTCCATTCTATATTGGAATCATTTTTTTGGGGGATATATCGGAGCTAACATGTGTGAGAAATTGTATTTAGTTGCATTAGTCTTCCTAAAAGACAGTCTGGTCTTACTTCTTCGTACTAGTAGTCTTAGTTCCACTCATAATTTGTTTTATAGTTTTATTATATAATTTCATAGGTAATGCAAAAGTAATTTGTTTTGTGGTGTTACTATATAAAAAATTTTAAAATTCATGTATTGTTTATGGTCTTATATAATTTTAAATATCGTGTAGTATATTTTATATGGACTTATTGCATAGTTCAAAATTATATTAAGTAAGAAGTTGAAACTACAATGAAAAGAACTAAATTGCAAAAAGAAAAACACATGAAGTTTTCCGTTGTTATATAATCAAAATAAAGGTTAATTATATATCTAGATAAATGGACAATATCACAATTAAAAAAAAATACCACTAAAACAAAAAAAAAAAAAGTCACGCGCATTAGAAAAAACCACTAAACCAAAAAAAAAAAAAGGACAAAATGCACTTTTGGTCCCTGAACAAAGGGGGGTCACAAATTTTGGTCACCATTAAGTTTTTTCGGACAAAATTAGTCACAAGCTTCTCGTTTATTCATCATCATTGATTCACTTAACAGAAATTTTAAAAAATAACGGTCAAACTCCTTAATCCGTCAATTCCATATTTTTCTGTTAATTTTTTCAGTATGCGGGACCAACTTATGTTTGACTTAAAAAAACAAAAAAAAGGAAAAAAAAAAAGTTTGACCTTCCTTCTCCTCCGCCACCACCGTCTCCACCAGCGTGCCAAGAATCCTCCACCGCTGCCACCACCGTGCTCGACAATTGATATACTAATTACAGGTCTGTGTCGGGGAGGAATGGTAAATCAGGACGTCGAACTACTGAAAATCCACAGCGAACAACAGGTTTTATTTGGGAAGGAATGTATTTTCTCGGGTAATTGCCAAAATGTCTGAGGGGAAGGACGATGATGTGCGGGGTATCGTTGAAGAGATGAAGACATTAGGGGGGTTTGTCCTGGACATGGGTGATTGGAGCAACGTCCTCCGATTTATGGTGAAAAGAGGTGAAGCTGTGGAAGCTATGGCTGTCTTGAAGCAAATGAGAAGGAAAGGACTAAGACCCGACATCGTTTGCTGCAACTGGGTCTTGAGTGGGTTGGTGAAGAAAGGGGAGCACACGAAGACAGACCAATTGTTTGATGCAATGCTCGTCTGGGGTTGGAATTCCTGATATTTTCAGTTTTAATGAAAAGATAAGTAGCCTTTCGAGCGGAATAATTTGGCAGAGGTGAAGATGGTAGATTGCATGGAGGAAGTTGGTGGAGATATTGATAGAAGAAAATGAAATATAATGAAGAGTAGTGTAGATGGAGGTGGAGATGGTGGTGGCGGCGGAGGAGGAGGAAGGTCAAACTTTTTTTTCTCCTTTTTTTCATTTTTTAAGTCAAATATAAGTGGGTCCCACAGTCTGAAAAAAAAAAAGTAATTAACGGATTAAGAAGTTTGACCGTTAATTTTTGAAAATTTCGCTAAGTGGTTCAATAATGATGAATAAACAAGAAGCTTGTGACTGATTTTGTCAGAAAAAAACTTAATGGTGACCAAAAGTTCGCCCTTAGTTTAGGGTTCAAAAGTGTGTTTTGTCTAAAAAAAAAAAAAAGAAAAATCCTACTAAAAAAAACTCCCAAAAAATTTTCCCTATAAACAAAGAAAAAAAAAGAAAGAAAAAACCCCCAAAACCCCCCCTGTAAACCAAAAAGAAAAAAAAAAACTTGTGCATAAAACGCGCATGCGCTGACCCACGGCCATGCGGGGCTTGTGCATTAATTGCACACGCCATTAATTGTAGCCAGCTGGTAATGCACATGATATAATTTTCAGGGAAATTATGTAAACAGTCTTCGATGTTTTTACTATATGTGATCATCCTAGCTAGAATTCCAATTCTCTTTGAGTTTGTTGTTGTGGAAAACATTGATTCAATGCAATAATCATTACTTTTGCTATCCCGACTTTCTGTTGTGGTGCAATATTCCTAACAATCACCTTTCGATACATCACAAGGTAATTACAATATATTGATATTACACACATCTTCTTGCAAGGCAAGGGATTTGATCAAATGTTTGCGTGATTCTTGTAGATCTTAGAAGTAATTATCTTTTTTCTAGAATAAAATGAAAAGTAGTAGCACGCAAATTTGCAAAATGAAGTGAAAAGCACGCGCATTACAGAACCAAAAATGTGTTACAAGAGAAATGGCTAGGTTTTTCCAAGTAGATCCCCCATTAAACTTCACAAGAAGCTAATATAGACGTGGCAAAACCTATTAGCTCATTACGACCTTAATTATCACATTGAAAGTGAACCCAACAAGGATTAATTACCTTTGCATGTCAGAAAATTGAAAGTTATTTTCATTAAGCAATTCAGATTCAAGAGATTTGAGCATTTTTTCTTGAAAGGAAAATGATGGATTGAATTTCAATCATTATTATTTGGGCATCATCAATTTCACCGATATGATAGATGCAAATCATCATACTTTCAACATACAGAAAAACAAAAATCAAACGGGCACTCTGATGCACACGGGCCACAGGGATAACTGTGACATTACATGACAAATCACCCTTAGTAAAAGTTTGAAGTTCGAGTTTCAGAGACTTATTACGGGCAGGTTTCGTGCATGATTTCATCTTTAAATTATTATTATTATTATTATTCTCTTTTTTGGAGAAGAAAATAACCGTGCAAGATGTGTGATCACTAGTGTTGAGCTACACATATTATTCCCTCTGTCCCAAAATTATTGTCCAATTTGAGATTTTACTTTTAGTACAATATGAACTAAAAATGAAAATCCAAACTAGACAATACTTATGGGACGGAGGGAGTATAAGTTTTCATTTCGTGTGGATGAATTAACGAATTTGGTTCCCAAAGGTTTTCTTTTTTATTAGAAATATAAGTTACCATGCATACCTCAACAAAACTGATAAAAAAACACCAAAAAACTAAAGCATAGATATAAAGCATTAATTAATCGTCCCACTCAACCCTAGAAAGACTCTGCTAGTATTCATTTACAATTGCAGAAAAAAAATCGTAAGAGACAGTTTAAGTAATTTACCTCAAGATGTATATGAGAAATGAGTAGATTAAATGGATATAGAGTATATAAACTTTGAAATTTCCGTTCATGTCAAAAACCTCTACTAATTAATGTTTCGTTACTTCCACTAGCGGCACCGTGGTTGTTCCTTTTTCTCTCACCTAAGGGCACCTACATTTTGCACATTACATTCAAACTAGTCAATGAAATTCAATTAGAAAAGAGGACGTCGTAAGAAAAGATTTTTTTTTAATTACAATGAGAGAGACAAGAGTTTGATTACGAGAATAATATAACTAAAAAACACAATCGTTCCATGTAACCACATGAGAACGATTAAGTTGTATGTAAAACAGAAATTGAAAAGGTTGTAAATTAAGGAGTTGAAATGTGTACACAGGGTAGTTGCCATCCTCCAAGCTTATGTTTGCTCGTAAATGAACAAAACATGCACGACCGCGAAAAGAAAATAAAAGAAGAAAAAAATTATGCATGGCATGTCACGTGTTGGATTTAGCAAAGGGTTCATTGCACGTCATGTCTCGTCACCTCCAATTTTGATCTTTTTTTTTCTTTTTTTGGTTCTCTGGTTAAATCCTTCCATTTTCCCGATCTTATTATCATTTCAATGTATGTCTAACTTTTAGTGTTATTAATTAATTAATCTTTTGTTTTGTTTTATGACTTTACGTGCAGGTTCTGTGACTCCCTTTCCATGAGTTTGTGTGATGTCCATGCCTGATCTAGTGTTTTTAATCTAGGAATCAGAAACAGAATTGATTTGTATGGCACTCCCTCTATTGCAAAAAATAGAAAAAAAAATATTTTGTTAAATTAAAATAATATAACTAAATAGACTAATTTTTAAGTTGATTGTAGATATACTTAATATCGTAAGATAAGAAATATCGTAAGCAACAATAGCTTCTATAAGCTGATCTGATTTTCTTTGAACAACGTTGATTCGTTTGAAACATCTGAATGTTAATTTACTTTAAGAAAATAAATAAAATTCCGTGGGACATTTTTAGACATATCCATGTTAATTTAAAAGCTTTAGTTTTGTCTTACGACATTGGTTATGTAAAGGTTTCATGATTTCATATTTCAATGATTCAATCCTTTCTTTTGCTACGCAAAACTTTTTTTAAATTTTCTTTTGAGCAGTGATACATACAGGAAAAGAATTATAAGGAATGAGTAATGACGTGTCAAACATCTAAACTATGACCTAACCTTAAATACATAAATTCCAATAAAAAAGTTTTTAAGATTATAAGTGAGATCGTTTCCTTGCCATTTTTTCCTGTAACTTTTGTTGAGTATCCAACATCAGTGGTGGGAGTGACTAGATATCATAAATCTCATAGGCTACACCCCTCATTCCTTGGTTTTGAGGTGGAACCTCATGGGTTTCTGTATAGTATCAGAGTTTGCTCGCAAAGAATCAGACCCCGAGCCTAATGTTATAAAACTAGTAGGCCTGAGACGTGCGCCGGTGACTGGGCTAGACAAACAAAACCCAAGAAGATACGTTGGGCTTGCAGGAGAGTATTGAGTATCCCGCATCGGTGATGGGAGAGACTAGATATCAATATATAAGTCTCATGGGATGCTCCCAAGTGTATAAGTGCTTTAGGCTCCCATCTCAAAACTAATTAGTAATGAGTGGTGTGACCTTTGGAACGTATATACTAGGTCACCTCTCTTCACGGTTGGCGATTTGGGACGGATAATACAGCTTAACACCCTCCCTCAAGTCCAACGGGTCTCTAGAACTTATTGCCCACTGGACTTGGATTAGAACAAGAATAAAATAGCACACGAGTCAACGCTCTAGTGAGAGAAAATCAGTTATACCGCTGGCTTGATACATAACAAGCCCATGAGTCAATGCTACAGTAGGAGAAAACCAGTTATACCACTAGATCGGTCAAGAACAAGCCCACGAGTCAACGCTCAAGTGGGTAAATATAGAATCACCACAGGCTACCTCCGGCTTAGAACATCACTACAGGTCCAGACCTCTCTAATACCATGTCAAAGTATATAAGTACTTTGGATTCCCATCTCAAAACTAACTGGTAATGAGTGGTGTGACCTTTGGAACATATACACTGGGTCACTTCTCTTCACGGTGGCGATGTGGGATAGATTATACACCTTAACACCCCTCATTGCCAATTAGTTATGAGGTGGAACTCCATGGGCTTCAATAACTTTTTTCCTTCACCTTTCATTATTCTAAAAAAAATTTTGTGTTCTTTTATGTGCAAGAAGCCTAATGACGGAATGTTGAATCATTGGCAGACCTACAAAGGGGCCTGGAGGGTCGATGGACCCTCCAAACAGCGAAACTTTCCCTTAATAATAGGGGTCTGTAAATGGCGGCGATGGCATTGAAGTTTTCTGCCGAGCCCTTCCGGTGAAAGGAAGAAGAAGATGAACTTAGAAGATGCTTGGTTCATGGGTATCAAATGCCTACTATGAAAGTTTAGATATGAAACCCATCTTTCAGTTGCTTGGTTCAAATTTTAGGAATGGCTTAGGAACGCTAAATTGGGTTTCAAAGTCATGGCCCCATTCCCAACTATATTGGTGGATATGACTTGGCCATTCTTTATTCTCCTCTTTTGCCCCTCCTAATTTCTTTTCTCCCTCCTTTTCTCCTCTGTCTTTAGCCTTCACTCTTCCTTTTTCTCTCTTTTTAGTTTTTCCCACTCTACACCATCATCAACAATCATCGGTTTCTAGAGTTCGGTCTCTCTCATCACTGTAATGTTTTCATCACCGCCACTGCTGCCGGTTCAGATCTCTATCTCATCACTGCAATTTCATCATTGCCGCCACTACCGTTGGCCCAGATCTACTTGCCTAGCTCCGGTCACCCGTTTAGATTTTTTTTCATGTTGATGGTTAGTTTATTATCTTGTTTAATTAAAGAAAAATAAAATAAAATCACGGTTGGTAATGTTTGTGTTATTGACTGTGAGAAAAAGAATCAAGGATTCTATTGTTCTTATTGAATGGTCGGCAGCAAACGAATTCAAATCAGTGGTGGCCAGAAAAAACGGGAAGGGTGGAGAATGAGTTCATGATGTAGGGATAAATTTGAA